GGGGGGTTCTGGCCCCGTTTTTGAGCTAGATGCCCTCTGCAGACATGACCCCAGGTACGGGGGGGCTGTCTTCAGTTGCCCAGCCTGGTGGGCTGATGCCCACCTTAAGTAATGCCCGCGTCTTGATCCGGAAGGGAGGGATTGGCTCCCCCCCCCGAGCCAGACAGCTTCAAACGGGGCGCATTTATCGGGGGGATGATCAGGAGAACCTGGAGCTGGAAGGGGCTCTTGGGGCCATCCATCCAGCCCCCTGCTTGGTGCAGGCACCCCGATAAAACACGTTCGGCGAAAGGGCATCTCCGAGACCTCTCTGGATTGCCCGCTGTTCTGTCCGGGATTCTTCATAGCTGGACGCTGGGATCTGCCTTCTTGTAACTTGACGAGACCCACTTAGCGCTTGGATGGGGGGCCATCAGGAAATCTCAGGGATGATCTCAGGAACAAGATGAAGCCCTTGGCCCGCCGCTTCCTTTACGCTGCCAAGAAAACTTCTCTGACGCGCCCAGGAAGTCACCGGGAGTTGAACTTGACTCGAAGGAGATTTCGTTTAACCGAAGATCATTAGTCCTCCTCTATTTGGGAACGAGGGAGGACGGGTCTTGACCGCCTTGGTGTGATGCTGGGGCACGTCTTGTGGCCAAACACGGTTAAGCCCGTCTCTCCTCGCAAGACCATTGCTTGTCTCTGGATCACGTTGGAATCAGTTTCTCCAAGTCTTAAAAAGGTGGTGCCTGCAAACGGACGCGGCACTGGAGCAGGGATCCCGTTGGTGCAGAATCGAGTGGATCTCTGCCTTCTGATGCTTTGGAAACTCTGTAACTGCATTAGCCCTTTTGGCAGCCAGTTCACGCTGCCGACTCGCACGCAGGTTGCAGCCGACTACCTTCTCAATGTCTTTTTCACGCCTGCCATAGCCAAGCCAGGTTTCTCTCATCCTACACTTGTGCATCTTTTTTTGCTTCCTAAGTGAACAATTTTGGGCCCATCTCTAACCTATCCTTTTAAGGTTTGGAGGGTGTTTGGAATATTAGCCACCATGCTCGGTTTGGTGCCAATTATTTTTAAAAAGCATCGCCATCGCTTCATCATGTTCATGAGAATACGGAAGAATATTGGGCCCCGCTGAGTGTAAAGGTATTTAGAGAGGACCTTGGCATGAAAACACACGGAGCAGGGATGGAAAAGGGATTACGGGGTCCAGAGGCTGAAGCAGGCGTGAGAATCAGTCTTTCGCTATACTGCTCCTACAGTGTTTCTCAACCTCCGCATCCTTAGGACGTGGACTTCAACTCCCAGAATTCCCCCGGTCAGCCTGCAAACTGGGGGAAAAACACTGCACTACAGTAAAATTGCATTTCTGGACTCCCTGCAATGTCTGTTTTTTGCCTTGGCCTACCTTGAAGGGCTGACATCAAGATCCCTTTCCCGTGGAGCTGCTGAAGAAGACTCGAACTGGTCTCCCACCAGCTGTGCCTCCATTCATCAGCCAGCCAGCCATCCCTCCCGCGCACTTGATTATCTTGCTCGTTATGTGTGACGCACGGCTAAATCGCTTCCAGCACAAGCATCCAGGAGCCATGGTGATCTCACTGGGTTGCGACATCATTTGCACAACGATGACAGGACAAGCGCGATGCTCCTTGCCCACCCTCGCCAATCTCGTGGTCCTGATCTGATCTACTTGCGTCCCTCCGGCTGGGCTCTTTTTCCTAGCAACATCTGTCTGTTTGGCAGCTTGTGACTTACTGTTTATTCTTTATGCCCTGGTTTGGGGAGGGTATAAAATGCACAAAAATCACAGACCCTGTCTCCTCTCGCGCGAATCCCAAAGCTTGCCCGTGGGATCTGCCATTGCGAAGTCTGTGCAGCCCTCAGGTGGGTGCTACGATACAAATGCTTTCTCTTGGTCTGTTTTACTTCTACCTTTATTTTAAGCCACTCAGAGAATTCTGGATATTGGGCTGAAATAAAATAAATAAGGGAGTCAGGAAAGCTGCAGTGGGGTGGCAGCCGCTTGTGGTGATCCAGTTTGGGGGTAGCGGGAGAGTGATTAAGGACACAAACAGAAAACCAGTTGAACTGTGGTTTATAAACCCTTGGAGGGAAGGGGAACTTTTGTACAATCTTGTAACTTTTGTCCAAAAAGGGGGGGGGAAGCCATCAAAAAAACAAAACCCCCACACAGCTTCAGACAGATGTAAAAAAAAAAAAGTAAATTTTCAACAAATAAAGTGAAGAAGCAGCATAAATAGCATTTAAAATATAAATCGAAGGGAAAGAAGATGGGCACCGTGCGCCTTACATCCTTTGCCCCCTAAAAAAAATTCACATTTGTTTGACGATCAACACATCAATAAATAAAGGAAGGGGGAGGAAAATGTGTGTCTGCACACATATCTCACTGCCCCATAAACAGGGACAAGCATTTGTCAGACCGGGAGAGTAAGAGCAACAGAACTCAGAAATCTGAATAAGGTGTGCTTCTTTATGGGCACGGGGGATTATCAGTCTCACGTGGACGTGGGCAGGAGGAAAAGCGTGGGCTACCCTCTGAACACACGAAGCCCGATGCAAAATTAGGAATCCGCACCCTCTCCCCCTACTTTCCACGGAGGGCAAAAAGGGAAGCTGGCTGCATGGGCCCCTGCTAACCTCATCCCAGCCTCCTAAGAATGAACCAGGCGGGGTTGGGGGGGCAAAGGGATTAAACGCACCATCACGTATGAAGAAGCCGAGACGTCGTTAGGTCCGCCCTGGAAATCCAGAAGAGCAGCTTGGGGACGAGGGGAGGGGGTCTGGATGAGCCCCTCCCAAGCTCAGTTCATGCCTAAGTGCCTGCCAGGTGTCACCGTCAAGGAAAAAGGTGAGGACCCCCCCCAACCCCTTGGCCCAATCTGTTCCCAGGGAAAGAGGCATCAATGCTAGGAAAAGTGTTTCAAACCGCAGTGGGGTGGGACAGGAAGGGAAATGATGTCAGTATATAGAAATCCCCGGGGGTTCCAGAAAGAGCCCCCCCGGGTCCAAAATTCAACAGTCCTTTTGTGGCAACTACATAACCCCTCCTTTCCCAACCCCGACTCATGCTCTTAACAGTCTCCCAGCCCCCCTCCCCTTTAGCTTGTCTTGTCTCTGTGCAAAAGAAAAAAAAGGAGGAAAACAGCTCCCACAGGCAGCCCCCCTTGCCCCCCCACTAGAGCTCTCCTCTGAGTCTCTCCAATCCATCTGGCATGCCTGCTGGCCGTAAAAGAGCCCCCCCAGACACGCCACTTCCACCCAGTCTGTGCGCCATCGCTGAAGGTCAGGCCACGGGGAGTGCGGGTTTTTGGCAAAAGCTGCTGCGTCCCCCGCGGAGGGCAGGCCGGTCTCACTCCACACGCACGAGGAGCCCGAACAGCACAGTAGCACCTTTCTCCTTGGTGACCCACTCGATCTCGGCACTGCTGAAGCGGGGGTCCACGGGCTCAGAGGCCACCAGCGACGGGGGGCACACCTTGTAGGAGCCGGGACGCACGCACACCTGGAAGGCCACCTGGGCGGAGTGCTGCCGGTGGGACTTTGGGTCTTTGAATCTGGAAACGGAAGAGGGTTCTTTGACTTTCTTTCACGGGAGGCGGGCTGGTCCAAGGCCCTAAGGATGACCACTAGCAGGTCAAACGGAGGCCTGGTCAACCTTGGGTTTTGGGAGGGAGGGAGGGAGGGATGGGGGTCTCCGGTTCATGCTCCACCCCTCCCCTGGTGATAGCCAGAGCGCATCTCTGACCATACGTAGGTTTGCCACCAGCCACTGACAAGACAAGATCTTTGCAGGAACCTGTTCGGAGATGTCCACCATCCCACCTTCAGTGGCTGCTTCCAGATTAACCTCATGCAGAGTTTTGGATCATTTCTCCCATTTTCTGATATTTTACAATAATAGTTTGTACTGATCGTATTATAGTAGCATATTTATTAGTAAACCAGTGAGTACTGATAAGTATAATATACATAGGACTTCCGGGGAAGCAACGGCGGACTGAAGACGGCTTTGTTTTTAGTGGAGCCGACCACCGTGGCAGAACAAGGAGCTGACGAATGGATCGGCACCTCGAAATTCCTCTCTGGATAAAGGGGAGGAACTGGGATCACCCGTAGTGCTCCATATAGATGCTCCCCGTGACAAGACCATAAAACAGCGGGTTTCCGGCGGGTTTTAGAGCTCCAGGAGCCGGGAGAGTCGGCTTTGCCCAAGCTGCGGTTTGGAGCCTTCAGCGGGACACTGAGTTTGCCCACTTCCTCTCTTAATCACTTCTGGAAATGGCTCATAAATTGCTTTTTGGATACTAAGAACCTTCAGAAGGGCAAGTGATTCTGTGTGATTCTCCTTTAATCCTCAGTGAAAGAAGTTTCATGTAAGTTTAAGAACTTAAACAAAAAAAATTATTTGGAAATAAGCAGCAAAAGGGTGATTAGATTAGTTAAATTTGTTTACATTTAAATAAATGTAAAGTTACAAACAGCCTAAGGGGCCAGAATGACTGGAAGTAAGATTTTGAAACTAATTATAAGAATCCTTCCTGTGGTTTATTTAAAATCCTATTAAAAATATATGAAGATT